AAAGTTATCTAGGTTTCGGTAGCTTATTAAAAGTTATCTTGAATGGATTATACCATTTTCATTAACTTCTGATGGTTTTCTTCTATATAACTTTATAGGAATCTTACCAATCACATACTAAATCTTATGTTATATCCATGCAGTATACCATTCTCAACAGATGAGCTGACAGATCAATAGATCCAATTCAAGGCTATATTGTTTTTGATGTGTTGTTTTTCCTGTTGCTGTTTTATGTTTATTGTTTGTAATTTGTTATTTTTTTCATCTCTACTTGTTAAATTTCAGTTGATGGCAAATGTTTTCTATGATGTTTTTTAATTGTGGGAAGTGTTTTTAAAGTTTAATAGGTGGAAATCTAAAAGACCAAGTTTTTATAATTGTTTTATTTTTGTATCTTCTACTTCTGATGCTTGTAAACCTTAATATCCATGCTATTTACTCTATAATTTATAAATAAAAAGTTTTATATTTAAGAAATCTGGTACCCGGAACCGGAACCGGTTCCGGCGGTTCCGGGAGCTGTTCCAATTTTCTAGGAACCGGTGTAGGTGGTTTCGTTCTGATTCCAATAACTTAAGAACCGCCGGTTCCGGGAGCGGTTCCGGTTCCAGCTAAAATAGGCGGGTACCCGGTTATGCTCATCCCTAGAATCAAGCTACTAACCGCCCTCAGGCTCAAGGCGTCGGACACCACATTGGCTTTGCTTGGGTGATACAGGATCTCACAGTCATAATCTTTCACTACATATAACAACCTCCTTTGCCTCATGTTCAGGTTAGGCCGAACCGGGTAGATAGTACATCACACTCCATAAAGATAGCAGCACCAAATCTTGAGAGGGAAAACCACCGCCCCTAATTCCAAATCATGGGTGGGATACTTCGCTTCATGAGGCTTTAGCTACATCAAAGTGTATGCAATCACATACCCCCTCTGCATCAACACAACACCCATTCCAGAAATGGATGCATCACAGTAGACCACAAAATCCTCAAATCCCTCATGGAGGGAAAGTACCGGTGCCTTACAAAGTCTCTAGCAAAGAGTCTCGAAAGATGTCTTTTGCTTAGGCCCCCAAATGAACACAACTTCCTTCCTCTTCAACTTAGTGAGAGGAACTACAATCTTCGAGAAGTCTCAAATGAATCTTCGATAATATCCTGCCAAACCGAGGAAGCTGCAAATCTCAGATGGAGACTTTGGTACTTCCCACCGAATCACCGCCTCTATCTTGGTTGGGTCGACCAAAATACCGTTCTGATTGATGAGATGTCCTAAAAATTAGACCTCACGCAACCAGAACTCACACTTGGAGAACTTGGCGTATAGCCTCTCCATCCTCAAAACCCCAAGAATCTCGCACAAATGCTCCTCATGCAGCTCTCTGCTCTTCGAATAGACTAGAATGTCATCGATGAAGATGATCATTGACTAATCATAAATAGAAACCTTTCTCTTCTCCTCAAAACGAGTATCCACCACATATGCCAGATAAATTATACACCCATGTTGTAGACTCTTCCTCACCCTGGCGGCAGAATAGAAAGTCGATCCTGGCCTAGTACTCTCAACGTAAATGGTTAACACTCCCCCACAAGGATCTCGAACAGTCACCATCTGCCGCACAGACAATCAGATCCCCAAACCGGCTCAACCAGTCCATACCTACGATAACACATACGTCTCCCATTGCAATAGGGATAAGATCTATCGGATATCCAACATCAAAAATCTCTATCACACCCTCGATAGATGTCAGTAGCGGAGCCAAATGCTCATCATGTGAAGAGACTCTTAATGGCCTACTCAAAGCCTCCCACGCAATACTAAAACCACAATAAAAATATGATGACACAAAAGATCGACTTGCACTCGAGTCAAACAGCACAAGTGTAAGTACAGAATTGACAAGGAAAGTAACTAAAATAAACAATATCATAAGCAACATAAATAAATTAGCAGAAATAAATAAAGAACACATACCAGCCAAGATGTCTGGAGCTGCTCTGGCCTCCTCTGCTATCAATTGAAATGCTCTCCCTCGAGCCCTCGGAGCCTCAGCCTTCCCCTGCCAGCCATTAGTAATATGCAGGATCGCAAGGGCCGGAGTCTGAACCGCCCTAGATGCAAGCTGAGGACACTCAGGCCTCAAATGACTCGCCTGGTTTCAATTGAAGCAAACCTAAAATCCCTTGGGGAAATCCTTTGCCATATGCCCCTCCTTGCCACACATATAGCAGATGGTCCCCGATTGGTAGGGTCCTTCATTACCCTTGCCGCACTTGCTCCAAGTGCAACCCTTCTGGCATCCATCACTCAAGTTAGCAAGCTTTGGCCGCTTAGTCTTTGGTTGCGACTTCACCGGTCTCCTTTCTCTCACCTAAATCTCCCCCTCCTCTCTTATCTGGGTCTCTAGCTTGATCTCTCTCTCCTCCTGGTATTGATCTGTAGCTCAGCTAATGTCCGATACGAGGTGTTCGCCACAAACTCATGGATATCCCTCCACAGAATACTATGGTATCAACTTACACGTGTCTGCTCAGTCGACACATTGTCACACCCCCGAACCAAGAAGGCGGAAACGTCTGGGGGCAGATACAAACTTCATATGTTTACAATTGTCATTGGTCAAGTGTTACACAAAAGTGACAGAAATGTAAATTCCATAATACAGCAAAGAGAAATTAAATATCCTCCTACTTTTTGTTCCTACATATCCTCCTACCCAATGAAATGGTGACATGTATAACATTTAATGCTAATTTAATGAGATTTAATGATATTTTAGGATACTAATATGACACATGTCATCATTTAAATGGGTAGGAGGATTTGTAGGATCAAAAGGTAGGAGGATATTTAATTTATCTACAGCAAAATATCCAACATCCTTGGCTCAACATCCATAATACATCAAAATATCCAACATCCATGGCCCTCTTATTGAGTTCCTGAGAATACAAGTCATTTTGGAAATCGTCAACATTGAATGTTGGTGAGTTCATAAGCATTTTTGTATGAAAAACGGTTGGTATCTGTATTGTTTGAAAATGTTGTATGTTACCAGAAAATATGATATTTTCTATCATAGTGTGTTGTATGTCTTATACCAAAGACTGAAGATGTATGTATGCATCTTTCATTGTATCTTGAATATGTATGTACATTCCCCAGAAAATCCTATATTTTCTTATATATGAAAGGTTGTAGTCTTAAAACCCTAAGACTAGAGTAGTAATAGTAGTGTACTGAAAATGGTGTGCAATTTTATATTTTATAAAACCAATGAAGTGTGTGTTTTCCCGTAAATTGAAATAGTGTTGTTAATCCCTATGTGAGTCATTATAACCATGCTTGATGTGACTGTTATGTCTGTCATGACGTTCTTCAGGCGTCGAATTCGGTAAGATATTTGTCACCCTAGACTGGCCCCGTCTAGCTATAACATTAACGGATTTACGCAAAGTTTGTGTGGGGCTGTCAATCCCCGTATAGATCTATACACAAGTAGAGTGTACGCTAGATAGGTACGGTGAAGGTAGTGTCTCACTAGAGCATTAACGGATTTACGCAAAGTTTGACTCTTTTTAATGAATAATGAAATAACCTTACTAGTGTAAATTCGTGACAGGTGTTTTATGACACGCGGTTTGTAGTTTAATAATATTTAGTTTATGACATGCGTTTTACAGGTTTTATGACATGCAGTTCATTTCCTTTGTTGTATAAGTTTTACGACAGATAGGTTATGACACGTAAATGTTTCTGTCATAAATCTGTTTTGTACATGATTTCGGATAAGCTATTTATAACATTTTATATAACTAGTCACTAATGAATATTTCTACTTGTAACAAATGTTGTAAAAATAGCATAACATCACTACTAGAAAAACAACCTTTTACGACGTGCAAATGCGTGTCAAGGAAGGCCCTGTCATAACGAGAGACGACATGCTTTTGCGCGTCGTCTATAGACGACGCTCAGTTACGACACACATTTACGACGCTCAATTACGACACGCAATGCGTATCAAAGAAGGCCCTGTCATAAAGGAAGACGACACGCATTTGTGTGTCGTAACCTTACGACTCGCATTACGTATCATTAAAGCCCCTGTCAAGAAAGGCCATGTCATAAATGAAGATAACACACCTTTTTGTGTATCATAATTTTAAATGTTTAAAAAGAATATTATTTATAGATTTACCAATTTTCAAATTAAATTTACATTTAATGTCTCATAATTGAAAATAAAATATCATATAAAAAAAATACAATCCATTACATAAAATTTAATGTCATACAAATAATCGTTCCATGGAAAGATAAAACAAATCAATAGAAGTTGTAACAGAAATTTACAAACTAATAGTTCTAATAACCTAATGTGTGCCTCATTGTAAACAAGATTTGTGCTGATTTTTTTAAATGTGTGCCTCACTTGTCTCCACTCTTCCTTAATAACACCACTCAAGGACTTTAAATCTATGAACTTGCTCACAGTATCTATATTGTCTGCAAAAAAAACATAACTACAAAATAAGTGTGAAGATGGATTATTACAGTGTAAGAAAAGTAAAGAACCTTGAGCTTCCTCCAATGGGACACATGGATAGTCAGACTTGATACAGGCTTCCAGTAAATTTATATAATTTTTATTAAAATCTTTCTTCAGCTACAAAACCCTGCATCATATATACAGTGTCCTTCCAATACTTCCTTGGCTACAATAGCTGTCTAAACATCTGAAATTTATAATTTTTTTTAACATTTTACAAAATTATATTATATATAATAAGCTTCTCAACACTTGTTATCAAAAAAATTAATTAACTCTCACCAGGGTATTGAATTAGAGCTTGAACTCCACCAATTTTGTCAAACATTGCTATCTTTAAAACCGGCCCAAAAGCAGAAAATACCTATTTACAACATCTAAGGTGACTACATATTGCATGTTTTCAATAGAAGCAAGAAGAACATTACTCTCAGATTCAATCTTCTTTCCATCTAAACCTAAACTGAACTTCAAAAGTAACAAACTAGTAAGCATAATACAAGTATAAATATAAAATACAATAAAAAGTTGAGTAATTTTACAAAACAATCCTTCAAGCTGTTATAAAGAATAATGACTTTACCTGACCAGTAGCATCTATTGCTGAAGATACAACAGGAAGCATAGCATTTGTATAGTCCCTGAATAAATATAAAGCTTATTAGGTTAGGGGAAAAAACTTCATAAAAAGAAATCAAGTTGGAAAGATTTATTGTCTTATACCTGCTACGATGACTCTAGAATTTTACACTCAAATCTGTATGTCCAGAATATGTTATCTTAAGAGAACATGGTCCAAGCTCTGGAATCAAATACCTGCAAATCCATAGGGGCAAAAACATCAATTTAAACATTAAAGGGCTCTTCTTGAGACAAAAGAACACAAGGTTCTTGGCGACACATCTGATTTGAGTCTCTGGAGTAACCGATCTTGCTTCTTTGGCTTGCTGAAGGAATAGGGTACTGTATCAAGCAACAAACACTATCAAATTTATATGAATTTTTTTTATGAAAAAAGGGTTTTGATGTTGGAATTTTCTCTGTACTTGGGGCAGTGTTTGTTGGTTTTCATGTGACCAAACTGATGAATCAAACCATCAAATCATCACATCACAACATATGTAGACCATACTTGACCTTTGTATTTTTAGTTAAAAAGGAAAAAAGGCATAACATTTGTAGAACATACCTGACCACAAGCTCCACATGCAAAATTCTCTCTTGCATTTTTCTATGTATTTCCAACCTACATTAGGATAGATCAAGCAACAACTTATTGAAAGAAATTATGTTAAAACCTCATCTTGTTTTCTATGTAAATAAAGAGGAAAAAGCAACTAACTTACTAACCTTCATAATATTCATTCCATCATTCAAAATTCTAAGCTTCTTATTCATCAAACCACCAACTTGTTCAAGATCATCCTTCTTTTTGGGCTTCATCTTTCCAGAAAAGTTCTTCCTGTAAGGAAACATTTCATCTTGCCACCCCACCACATGAACATCAATCACTAAAAGGTGTGTGTATGTATAAAGATTAGAGGAATAGATAATTAGAAAAATACCAGTAATGAACTCCAAAGCATATCAGGAAGACACGAGAAGCACCAGCAACAAACAGAGCAATGACACGACTTTGAAGAAGCTCAGATCCATATAAACAGGCACCCACGTTCCAATTTGGGAAATTGGATTTATGTTGTCAAAAAAGTAGAGAGAAAATGAAGATATTAAGGAAGATAGTGAATTCGGAATAGCATTGGTTTAATATGTATATATATACCAAGAATTATAACAACAGCTGATGTGATAGCTCCAAGCCAATTTGACTCCTTTGCTGTTAAGCCAAACAATATAGAAAGATTGTGAAAAGACCATGTAAATGTATGAATAGATGCTATTTTTATAAGAAAGATTGAAAAAGGAACAAAGGGTACTTGTCTTCTAGATTGTCTAGGATATAATTCATTTGGATCTGGTGGTTTTGGTAAACATGCAACTGGTCCTACTTCAATACAGTCAGAATAATCAAATTTGTTTGCACTTCTAACATATTCATCAATATCCAAACTGTTTCCTATAATGATTTGAGCACACAATGAAGAATAAGAAAACATGATTTGTATACCATTGTGGGGCAGTTGAACCAGTTGTAACATACACTGCACATAGTTCATATGCACAGAGAAGTGCAACAGCTAGAAGAAGAAGAACATCAACATCTCCTATTGATGAAATAGACATTTGTACCATTTAGTATCATTTAGAAATGCATGATATATATATATATATATATATATATATATATATATATATAAGATATTGTAAACAGAAAGAATATTTGATATGGGATATTTGGATCATACTTGAGCTTTGCCACTGTGTTCGCCACCAGAGCATTATGATAAATATATTACAACTTTGTCATAACACAAAAAAGATTATAAAATAGAAAAAGGTATATAAATCAGTACCACTTGAAATCGCTAACATATGAAAACTCAATTGCTGAGGAACATGAGATGCAAACAACAATTTCATCTGAGCAGATGATTTCATCTAGCCATGAGGAACCAACCCAAGAATCTCGCTCATTAGAGGAGAGATCTTATTCAGAACCTCAAAAAGTTATGCAAGAGTTATCTAGTCAATCTTTAGATAATGTTTCAGAAGAAGAATCCGGAACTTCGGTTAGAATGGTGAACCCGAGCATAGGGAGTGAGCTTAATAATGTTGTGAGACTTGTGAATGAAGTGGTTACTAATAGAAGTTTACAATTGGAAAATCCATCAACACATATTAATTAAGAAAGTCAAAAGAGGGAAATGTTCAAGGAAAGGAATGAGAATGTCCTTATTGGCTATGTTGATGATGATAATAAAAGTAAAGATGATTCACATGTTGAAGTTCCATGAAAACTATGAAAGGCAATTTGACTCTTTGGGAAATGGTTGGTAAGAGCAATGCAGATTCAGTTTCCAAGCTTCATATGGGCTTGTTGGATGGGTGAGACTATCTTTTATATTAAAATTACACTATTTGTACTTCAGAATTTTGGGAATCTGCTTGAACATAAAATGTTTACCGATCTTATGCAGTGGAACCACAACTGATGAGCTGGTTTTAGAGAAAGAAAGAGGGAATATTCCTACCCAATCAAAATATTTCAAGAAACAAAATGGAAGTGAATCTGAAAAGCAGCAGACATTAGTCTCTTCAACAAAACTCGCCTCTGTTGAAAATAAAAGAATAAGCAGCTTACTAATAATCCTACACCTGGAAAAAGGTGAGACTTTCATTTAATACAAGCAGCTTTATCAAATATTTTGAAGAAGAAAATCTCATTTCCATTTGTAAGACTTTTGCACGGAGTTTGGTTCTAAAAGCATAGAGTCTGGTAGCAAGTTTACTGGTATATCATTATCAAGCCCACTTAATTTCATGATCTGGTGACCAAAACCCCCTTCGATTTCACTAAGAACCGAAACCCTAGTTCCAGTAATAGTCGAACCCCTTTTTGGGGATACAACACATAAACTACTAATTTTGAAACAAAAATTCTTAGAGCAAGAGTAAGGGGTGTACTTCGAGGAGTGGAAGAGGAAGACGAAGACGGATATTGGGATGACAGGCGAATGCTCTCGACATCACCGCAAATTTGATTCACATACCTGTTGAAGAAGTAGAGAACATTGGACCACCATTCGCCGGAAGTGAAAGGGTAAAGCACCTGCTATTGACGATGTCATATTGAGAAAACTCAATCAATCATGAGATGAAGGCATCAAGATTGTCGATGATCGTAACCTTGGATCTTTGATTAAGAAGTTGCACAACAGTGTGAGGAGAATGAAAGATCCGTCAAAACGCTTAGGGAAAGAGGGTAGCGGGCTTTTCTAATTTTTTGGCTTTTCTTTTCCCGCTTGTAACTAAGGAACGCGCGTTCATTAAAATTATAAAGTGACACTTATAGAGGACGCACATTTAAGATACAACGCCCTCCGTGTTTTTAATTTTTTTTTCTTATGACACTAATTTAAGGGCACGCAATAATGCGTGACCTAAATCCTTAAATTTTCTGAAGAGATGACACTTTTTTAATGTCACTCTCTTTTGTGTAACATAAATCAATGAGTGTCCTGGTTTGCGTGTCGTAAAAGGGTCTTTTTTCTTGTAGTGCATTTTGAGTTTTGAAGCATCAAAATAGTGAAAACATAATTACGACTATTTTACTAAATAGATTAACTTTAGAAAAATATTAAACCTTGTGTTTTTCTTAATAATCTATTACAGGTTTGAAAGTTGTGTAACACAAAACATTTTACTTTGATTTCTCTTTAGTAAGTAACGATTTTTACCACCATATTTTAACAACATGAAGACTTTAGTTTATTCAACATTTGTGTAAGTTTAAGAGGTGAACATGTATTAATCCATGAGTTAAACATGTTTGGGCTTGCACACTCATGTTTTCGCCATTATTGAGTGTACACCGATGTCCACGAAATTTTTATGCAACTAATATGTTAACAACCCCATTACATGATTTTTAATTAGCTAACTCATGATTAGAACCTTATTACCCAAGATTTTGTTCCATTTTTCAACACATAACCATGATGCATGCAATTATCCAAAGGTTAAACTTAATCTAGGTTACATAAAGCTTGTAAATCACGAGTTTATGGTGTTTTAGCATGAGATCATCAACATTTCAAGCACAAATCGTTACATAAACACATAGGTGCATGCAAATATCCAATGGTTAAACAAAACTTGACATGTATCCCCCTCCCCCCCAAAAAAAGCATGAAAAACACGAAAATATGGGGGTATGAAGCTCACCTTGATTTTGTGTGCTAGGAAGAAGAAGAAAGAAGTTGTTGTAGTTTGAAGAGATTCTCGAAAAAGGGGTGATGTTCTAAGAAGCTGCACACGAAAATAGGTGTGTAAATGGAATGATCTTAACACTAACATGTATAAAAACACTTTGAGTTTCAAAAAGGACTTACCAAAATGCCTAGGACCGATTTTGATGATGGTGATGCTCGAAATTTTTGAGAGAAAGGATGAGAGAACTTGAGAGTGAGTTGGGAGAAAATGTTTGGTGTGTGTGGGTTGAGGTGTTCGGCTGAACATAAGGAAGAGAGGGGAAGAAATAGTTGGCTTGGTTGCATGGTGAGTAATTGGATGCATGGTATGGATGTATGGAATGTAAAAACATGATTTGTGGGGTTGTTTGTTGGGCAATGCAATGTAAAGCACTTAGGTGGCACCTTTTTGTGTAATTTTCTTTCTCTTTTTTTGTCTTGCCCAAACCAAAACCCCATGGGGTTTTCGGCCATAGTAGGCTAAGTTCATGGGCTTTCGGGTTTTGGCTTGGCCAATTAAGAGGTTTTCAGTCCATTAAAGCCTAAAGATAGAAGGGTTTTCGGTTTGGAGTATGTATGGACTTTTGGGGTTTAACTTGGCCCAATAAATGGGTTTTCGGTCTAATAAGGCCCAAGGAAAAGCTTTCCGCCCAAAATTGGCTTTTTCTAGCTATTGGATCCATTTTAGACTTACTAGGGGTTAATTCAACATGATTCCCAAATGTATGCACATATGATTTTTATCACATTGTAGTTTGAATTTCACTAATTGGATGTAACAGGTTTACATAGTGGAATTGTGTTGTTTAAGCTTCACAATCTCAACCCTAAATTGCTTGTTGTGACGCACATGCTCAGGGCAAAACAGAGCCCTCTCATGAAACATCTTGGTGATCTCAGTCACCGTCTCTATCTTCTGCTTGAGAGATAGAAACACCTGGGCCAACCTCTCTCTCAACCACTGGTACATACTCATCCCTGAACATCTCACCAAATCTCTCCCATGTCACTACAGAACACTCCGCAAGTGTATAATCAGTTGTCACAAACTTCCACCAATCCTTATTTCCCAAGCAAAGCAGATTCAGTGCAAAACAAACCCTCAGATTCTCTGGACAGGAGAAAGTGTAAAAACAACCCTTAACATCATAAATCCATCTCATCGCAGTAATCAGATCCTGGATCCCATCAAAATCAGGTGGCTTCGTGTTGTTGAACTCTCGGTACCACAACGAATCACTCCCCACGGTCTCGCAGCAGCAGCCTAAGTAACGGGAGGCATAGCGCTCGTGGAAAATCCCAATCAACATGGTCTTAATAGACCCAAACATATCGGGTATATCCCCTCTAATCATGGTGGTCACCTCGGTGGCAACAATCCTGCATATCTCATCATCACTGGCACTCGGCCTCTCGGGATTGCTGGAGCCTGAACCTCGAGTAACCACCATAGTAAAACACACAAGAAAACCATCAGAACAAGGATAAAGCACATACACAAGCACCCACACACTCCTGCAAGCTTCTTAGTTCTTTAAGATTCCTCTTGATCCGTGTACGAATTCAGTGCTTTCAGTAGTACGGGCCCGATACTACCTTCCACACCAACTCGTATTTGTCTCAAGTCGACCTCTCAAGACTCTAAGTCACAAGTGTGACAACCCGAAATTTTTTTGCTTTATAAGTCCAGTCAAACGAGAGTCATACTCGTTTCTGCTATCTTTTGGCCTTGTTAAGGGACTGTCCGAGTGTTCTAAGCCTCATACATTTAAGGAAGGAGTGTTAGGATATAGCTACTGAAGTTCAAAACCATCAAACGAAGCCATAAAATCCATCACGTGGAGTTTACGGCCGTAAACTCAACCATGGACGAAAACTCTCTCCTATATATATGAGGGCACTTCATTTCTTCATTCTTTTCCTTCCTTGGCCGAAATCTCCTCAAACTCTCTCAAGTATCATCAAGTTCTTCATCCAACTCCTCCAAAAACGTAAGTGTTCTTCCCTCTAGTTGTTGTTATCCTTCTTAAACATGTATCATTCTTTGATTCATCCATGAAAACACCCTTTTTGTCTAGATCTTCAAATCTTCATCTTTCACTAAGAACACCAAGAACACACACTTGTTCTTGGTGGCCGAAAACACCTTCTAAGGCTTCCAAATCGTGAGTATTCCTTCTATGAACTTGTTAGCTAGTAGAATCACAAGCCTTACTACCTGGAACAAGAAATTGGTGGATGATTCC